AAGTTCTCAGCGTTTGTTACTATTTTTTGTACATTCATTGCTGATTAAAAACTCATTCTCCCTTGCGTCTCAGTAGTACATCCTGAAGAGAATTTTTTGCGCTATCTGATGGTATGATTGCCGTTTCACCAATGCTTGATAAACCCCCTTTTCCCAAGACTTTTTGATGCATGTCAAAAGAGCAACTTCGGACGATATTTTTCTTCAACTAAAAATTAGGTCATTCCGCACTCGAGACAGCTCGACAAATTAACCAGGTGTGGGGGCCCAATAGTGTAGGAGAAAGCACCGTGCGACAATGGTTCAACAAATTTGGAGATTTCAGCCTTGAAGTTGAACCTCATAGCGGTCGACCTAAAGACGAGGATTTGAAGGCGTTTGTGGAGGCTGACCCATCCCAAACAGTTCGAGAGATTGCAGAAAAGCTAGGCGTTGGCAAATCCACTGTTGCGGATGGTCTGAAACGCATTGGAAGGTGAAAAAACTCGACAATTGGGTGCCCCACAATTTGAGTGACCGGCAGAAATCGGCACGTCTCGAGGTTTCTTCACTGCTTTTGCGCAACAGAAACGACCCGTTTTGAACCGAATTGTCACCTGTGATGAAAAGTGGATCATGTATGAACAGGAGACGTTCCGGACAGTGGTTGGATGCCGACGAACCACCGAGGTAATTTTCAAAGCCGAATCCTCACGAAAAAAAGATTATGGTCACAGTGTGGTGGTCATCGGCTGGTGTGATCCACTATAACTTTTTGTCACCAGGCCAAACCATCACAGCAGAGTCCTACTGTGAAGAAATCGACGAAATGTAAAATTGCGTCAGCTGCAGCCAGCACTTGTCAACAGAAAGGGTCCGATTCTTTTGCATGACAACGCCCGCCCACACGTTTCACAAATCACTATCCATAAATTGAACGAATTAGGGCCATCCAAAAAAGCCTTCGTAGATTTCGTGGATTCTCGACCACCCAGTTTTTTCTTTGATGGGATTTTCGACTGTCTTCACATTGGCAAAAGTGTGCTGATTCGAATGGTGCTTATTTGGATTAAATCCGATGAGTATTAAGAAAGTTATGATCGTTTAAAGTGAAACACTCAAAACGCTGAGAACTTTCCGGACAACCTAATAGCAGGCCCTTGTCACAAGGAAAGCAATTAAAGAGAATCTATCGATTGGCCCGTATAAATCGCCCCTAGTTTTTTAGGAGAGTACAAGAGAAGGAAACGAGAACGATTTCGCAGTCCTGTAATCGCTGCAACCGTCCTCCGCGCGCTTGTTTTAATTCCACAAATTCAAGGTGCTTTTAATTCCCATGTTGTACCGCCTACAGCACTGTCCGCGTGATGTACGTTCACCCCACTGACGGTTGCAGCGATTACACGGACTGCGAAATCGGCTGCGTGAACGCGGAACGCGTCCCTCGCTTGACATGAGGGACGCGCTCCGCGTTCACGCACCTGAGCCCTGGGAGGAGAGGGGAAGTCTACAACCAACTGGGTTACGGTAGTAGCCGTTCACCCGATGGCGAAAGCTTTCTAAGGCAGCGTTCAGACTTCGCGACGGCGCTGCTCGGTCGCGCGTTCGCCGCGATCGATGCGCATACTTTCGACTGCATCGATCGCGTCAAACAATGACAGAAGCGCTTGCGTCGAAACGCCCCTAACAATGACAGAAGCGCTGCCGTCGCGAAGTCTGAACGCTGCCAAATGGGGATGGGAGGGTCCTGACTGTGCGGTTAGGCGTCATAAAATAGCAACGTTACCGCTTTGCTACCGCACTGCAGACCTTTTTATTTTATGATGCCAACCACACAGTCTTGTTCCCTCCCCTACTCTACTACACCCTTCAAAACACTAGCAGCCTGTGCGGATCGATACCGCTCTATGAAGGCGTTCTGATCTATAGCTGCGTCAATTCTGTAGCTCTAGAGCGCGACTACAACGGTAACGCTGGGTTCATACTTTGCGGCAGCGTCCACATGCGTTCCGAGCGTCCGGCAGCGTCAGCGACAGGAAAGTGTAGGTATCGATCTAGTTTGCCAGCGTCTGCCAGCGTCCACCACCGATCAGCAGCGTCTCGAGGGCTAGGGGTGTATAGGTATTGATCTAGCGTCTGCCAGCGTCTCCAGCGTCCGCCAGCGTCCAGGAGTGGAGAGTATGGGGCGATAGGAGGGTAGCAGACAGCTGGTAGAGTATGGGGAGATAGGAGGGTAGCAGACTGCTGGTAGAGTATGGCGCGATAGGAGGGTAGCAGACAGCTGGTACCCTCCTATCGCCCATACTCTCTACCAGCAGTCTGCTGCTGGTCGCTGGTGGACGCCAGTAGACGCTGGCAGACGCTGGATCGATACCTATACTTCCTTAGCCCTCGAGACGCTGCTGGTCGCTGGTGGACGCTGGCAGACGCTAGATCGATATCTATACTTTCCCAGTCGCTGACGCTGCCGACGCTCGAAACGCTGGTGGACGCTGCCGCAAAGTATGAAAGCAGCCTAACGCGTCGACGCGCGTTATCGCAGAGTCTGAACGCAGCCTTACGCCACCCGCATAAGATAAAAAAGAACCTGGGAGAACAAAATCACCTACCAGAGACGATGCCATGCTCTTTCCAATAGGTGAATGCTGACAGAGCCCAGTGGGTTCCTTGGCATCTGCAATTAGTAGAGACTTACCCGACATATGTACTTCAAGAAACTCACCTAATCACTATGAGTAAGGCTACTTGTAGCTCAAACTCATGATCAGGGTTCAAGGTTTTCGTACTCACCCTCCACACGACAAACAGCACGACGTCAGATCGAGGGCGCTGATCTGAGTTTGGGATGTACCATTTGAACTGATGCAGACGCGATCAGACATTACCGCTGTTGCTGCTACAGACTATAATGGAAGTTCCCTCAAAAAAAAATGGGAAAAATATCATAGCTATTGTACTTGATAGTAGGATAAGATGGCGCATACCGCTAAGTCCATATCCCGGCGATCATGGGGAGTGTCTGCGGACCTCTTTAGTAGCTGGTTAGTTCTGGGCAGCAGGAGCGCAAGAACTAAGCATAGAGGTCGTCCTCCACGTATTAAGTACCTCATCCTCGACTGAAAGCGATGCTCCGCCAGGGCTAGGTGTGGGCTGAGGATTCAGGGGCGCAGCTAAGCTGTTGGAGGTAGTGGACACCGTCCACACGATAGTGGGTGGCAAAGAAGTGGATTGGAGGAACGCTATCTACCGTTTTTCGGAGTTTTGCCCTTTTGCCCGGCAACTTCTCTCGGCGCCATGGGTCATCGCGTCTCCCACTCCTCTCCCACCCCCTTAGCGCACCCATTCAGTTAATTGTAGGCATATTTCGGAAGTAAGCTACTCACCCAGCAAGATCCACATCCTGCTTGATTGAATATTTGATGGACCGCCCAGCATTTCGGCCAAGCCGTTCTGGCGTCAAACGCCTCCGGAATGTTTACTTTAATTCTGAAAATGCTTTAATTTCGTGAAATAGGGAGTAGTTGATTCCACGATTGACATATAACTTACTTCCATAATTCTTCTATATGTTTTACGGTATCTTGGAGCAGGTGTGAGTGCCATCAAGATGGAAAAACTTTTTCATTAACAATTTTGCCGCTTCCGTGTCTCCAATAGTATTGGGACCGTATTCAGGACGCGAAGCAAATCGGTTATATTGTGCCTGGAACAAATTTCGATTGATTGCAAAAAATCGGTGCCAGTACGACTACTTGAACGGAAGAGCTGATCTCGAGGGGAGGGGGGAGGGGTGTCAGGAGGCGGAGCGACGCGGCTTTTCACTAGTTGTTTTCTACCTGTGCGCGCCCACAATCGGATGAAAGCACAACCGTTAGAGCTCATTCCCTTTCTCCCTGATCCCGCCCCATCTCGCTAGGATTAGGAAAAGGTCCTTCGGGAGCGGCTGAAGGTTGCCTGAGTGGATGATAAAGTCCTAAGGCCCTTCTGATTGTGAATCTGGGCGCCTTAGTGACAAAGCAAGCGGCTCTGTGTACTACTCGAACCCCCTGAGAGTCGGGTAAGGCGTAAAGCGCATGAATTTTTCAATTATCCTGAAGGTGTCTATGCTTCTGGTTGGGATATTTTCATCTTGGCACAATTGTTATCGTGTCTCTGTCCAACACAGAACAAGATGACAGTTGTCCCAGACACGAATATCCACGAGTAACCAGTTCCAAGCCGATGTTAAGTGCCCGCACCCAGGGCCTAATCTCGCCTCATGGCATAAGAAGTTGTACGTACAGTGATGACCCCTGCAAACGATGGGACGTTGGCGAAGGCGTGGGCTGGAGCGCGGCCACGGCGGCTTTTCCATCAATGATGCTATCCTGAGTCTACAGCGATTGGGCACGGGAAGTGTTCGGGATGCGGAGCGCGAAAACCTACTTGCCCCCGTAACACGCCCTCGGGATCATGCCAGCGACTGGCAAGTAATCGCGGTCGTCTGCTGTCTGGAGTACTTTTACCTCTACCTTAAAGGCACTTGGCACGATAAATCGCTATACAGGTATGGGGATTTGTACAACTGGCTTAACAGAATTCCGTGACCTCGGACAGGCGCTGCGTGAAGCCTTTTCCAAGGAGGGTACCTCTATAACGCCCTATTGAGCAACAACTTTACGTCCCAAACGCCTTCCCGCCCGCCCACAAACGGACGACCGTTCCTGACGCTCGTATTCATTCATTTGCTGAGCAAATTATGAAGCAAAGGGATTGGTATGAAGCGGCCGTGATGCTGCATGCATACATGGGTACACATATGCAGCCGTATCTTCGGTAGCGGTGATTGGCAAGATGCCTACGGGAAACTCGTCCGAAATCGATTTTCAAGTCACTGAGAACGGAGGCTTTTTCTTCGCCGGATTTTGACCGTTTCACTCCGTTCTTTCGCCATTTCCCCACTACATAGCGCCCTACTAGCATTTTAGGCCGAGTGGGAAACCATCGTGCCAACTGCCTTTAAAAGGAAAACGCGAGGAACTACTCCGAACTATTTCGGTTCAAAGTAGTTTAAAAATTCAAACTGGTTCAAAAACATGCATACCTTCCACGTGATACCTGGCTGGCTATTTACTAGGTCAACCAAAGCTAAGTGATATTCTTCATCTTCTCTATCATGCGGGATAGCTTCGTCGCCAGTTCGACTCGTGCTCCTTAACAACATTAACAGTTTGACATGAAAGATGAGCAGGAACTGTAGATCATCTTCAATGAAGAAATGAGTCTTTGGCTCACCTCCACGTCTCGAAGGCAACACACAAAAGTATCAACAGGAGAAGTACAGCGCCTAGGACAAGAGCCTAAACATCAGAACTTTTTAAAAATGCTAATACTCTCTAAGAAATTGTCCCAGAATTGTGCTTTTCTGTCTATACGCACGAGATTGACTCTTCTTACTCTTCTCGAAAAGAAAAGAAAACGAATGTGATAAAGAAAAAATCCGGAAGGCACAGATATGGTCTAATTCACCGCGGACGAAGAGGCGTGTCGGGCGGAAAGAGTTTGGCGCAGCGCCAAATCCGTTCTCTAACAATGTTGAAGCGAGCAAGTGACAAGACTGTATCATGTCGTTCGTATCACTCGTTTTCTACCAATTGTTGTCGCATACCCGCTTCAACAACTGGCAGAGAACGGGTTTGGCGCCGTGGCACACTCATACTGCCTGACACGCCCCTTCATCCGCAGCGAACCTGGAGTATAGTTCATTTAGCCTCTAGCTCAGAGGAATCTTTCTTATTTCGTCAACCCTTCGTGCAGTGAAGCGGACTCGCCCATCCAGGTCAGCCTAGTCCTCATCAAATTACATAACATGGGCGCCAGCACCAATTTCCTGTTAACTGCGGGAGGGGTGTGCCTGGGGGAAAGTTTCTGATGATGTTAGCCGTTTTTTTTTTCTATTGACAAGCCACAAGACTGCATCTTAGCCTGCGTTCATACTTTTGGTTAGCGCCCACCAGCGACCGATGGGGTCCACCAGCGTTCTGGCTCGCCTCAGGACAAGCGAAGCTATAGCTATTGATCTAGCGTCTGCCAGCGTGCGCTAGCAGGCGCCTAGGGGTAGAGAGTATATAGCGGATGAGGAAGGGTAGCAAGAGCAGCTCGTCACCTCCTATCACACCTCACACTCTCCACCACCAGTCGCTGCTGGTGCTCTGGTGACGCTTAAAAGGCTGACAGACACGTGCCCAGACTCTATATGAATATCTATAAGTTTGTTTGCTATTTGCTACACGCTGGCGGCGACGCTCGGAACGTGGGCACGTATTGGTGGCTGCATAGACGCTGCCGCGAAGTATGAACGCAGTCTTATATTTCGTATTAGTCGATTCCAAGAAATTAAACTTGCTTATCCGTTTCAACAATGGTGAAGAAAGGGGTGGGGCGCAGTCCTAAAATCATGAACGCCATCATCCAAGCGGAACGAAAATACGAACAATGGTTGCCTTCCAAACTGTGATTTGGGCTGAAACCCGGCATTTTCCAAGCTACATATCTTGGTTGTGACACGCGCTCGAGCAGCAGGGCTACGGACGTCGTATGTGTCTAGAAGTTGCAGGGATACTGCTATGAGCTGGTCATTATCCCTTCAACAACTCGACACTGAGGCGTTTAGCCCGACTGTCATCTTTTCTCAGCGTTCCGCGTGAAGCCTCAGTTTTTTCTCATGATTCTTCTAGGTATATGGTAATAGGGACAGGCAAATGACTCGAGGTTTATCATTAGGTTACGCTTCACAATGCGGAAAAGGTGGTGAGCGAGATGTTGAAATGACGTGACGCCTGCCCTTTCAAGTGGAAAACGGCTGGCGCCGAACCAAATCCAGCCCCCGTGACACTCCCCAGCATCCGCAGTGAAAACGACTACATACGTGTTTTTGAACTACTATTACCATATTCATGGTGCATACTGCATAAAGCGCCACAAATTTATGCGAAATCCCGCTCCAGGCCATTCAAAATTTTCAAAATCACCTGATAAAAGGCTATCGGTGTCCGTTGATACTTCTTGACTAATTTAGATTTTCTAGAGTCGGTACGATTAGGTACCACATGTACTACGGTTTCTTCTGGTCGCGATGTCGATGGCTCTGATGTATCTTGTACTGAAACTTACTAGTATTAGTGTGAGAGGGCTACAATTTCTAACCGTACTTACACGTTGGAACGAGGGCGATCTCATCCATAGCGTTCTGTGACATTTCTGTATCACATTTGTCACTAAAAAATGAATCGATTACGGTTTACGAGCAGTAGAAGCACGTCTAGATGGTCGTAACGAAAGCGCTACAGAATAAAGCGACCACTATGAAAATGAGATGTAAATGCTGGGAAGACTAGAGGAATTGTGGGAATTACGACTCGAATAGGAATTATGGAAACTATTATTTACTAAGAAGGGAAGGACATAAAGGAAAGAAAGTGCTGACTGAGGAGTTCAAAGTGATGAGAGGGATTTGCAAGCAACAAAGAAACGTGTAAAGGTGGATAAGCGGCTTGCCCTTGGCACCTTTAAAATTCACAGTCTTGTTGGCAGCGGATGGTGAGGCGTAACAAGGAGGGGGGGGGGATGAGTCGCGCGCCGCCAGTTCGTTCTCCATCTGTTGTTGAAGCGTGTAAACGACATTAAATTGTGGTAAACAACGATATACAATTTTGTAGCTTGCCGAAGAAAGAAGAAGTAGGGGCTGGCTCTGTGCCAAACGCATCTCCTTTGATACGCCCCATCATCCGCAGCCAACAAGACTATACGTCACATAGGACAGAAGGCAGGGCACGTCCTACAGCTGGGGAAAATTTCGGAAAATACGACCCGTTGATTCCCTCCTCCGACAAGACCCCCTCCCCCATCCTACCTACCACGCTCCTAGATTTCTCAGGTTATTTTTTTTTGGTTTTTTTTTTCCCCCCATCTTTCAGTTTCGGAGACTTTTCCAGGAATCTTCTAGTTTTCCCCCAAGGTTTTTCGAAGTCTCAGTTCCGGGGTGGGAGGGTTAATGGTGGTCATGAACGGCAGACTACTCGACACGGAAATAGTATAGCTAGTTTAGACTTGATTCTTCCTTCATTGAACTGCACGTCGAGGGGTTTTCAGGAATGTTTATTATGTATTAAGTATAGGGTTGGTTGTATAGAACTGATGGCTGGCACCACACAACTAAGGGATGAGAAGGAGGGGGAGGGGGTACCGCGGTGGCGTACAACCACGGAAAAATTTCTCCCACGCCGCAATTTCCCTGCGAAGGGAAATACGACGACCCCCCCCCTCACCGACCAAACGACCCGATATTCCCAAATATACGACGTGGTCAGGTGGCAGGGTACGTTTCACATCCCTGAGTTGCGGTAGGCGTGGCTGCGTTCTTCATCTGAACAGCAAGATGGGTCATTCGTAGGATGCTTCATCCTGGAACGAGTGCTATACTGCCTTGTTTCAGACAAGGACGTGCTTACAATTGTCTCAAATCAGAATATGCCATCAGAAGTGTAGCCGCCTCACGTCCAAATAGGATAGTGTAGCCACCTCCCGAATCTCAGGAATTTCGAAGTTTATGGCTTCCTGAGATGTCCCTCTACAGGTAGGAACAATACTCTCAACATTGCCTTCCGCCACGAGAAGCCAGACATTAGGTCAGTACAGTTACTTTCAGAGGCGTCAAAGTTCGTAAAGAGAAAATAAAAAGAGTGGGGAAACCAGATGGCTATACTTTGGTAAGGCTTTCTAGATTCCAAGATTGTTCACCACTCCAAAATCGAAGCGTTAGATTCTAAGAAATAGCGGTTGACCAGTTATTGCCGAGGAACAAGAACTCTAGCAAGTATTTGGCTAGAAGACCCCCAATAAGAAAACCATTGAGTGTTGGCTCGCACATTTTCAAAAAGCCACCTGGGTATAAAATAGAGTGAGGAGGCTGTCAACAAGGTCAAGCAGGAAAATGGGAACAAAAGAGTTGCATTGAGGAAAGCCATAAAGGACTCGAAGCAGAGTAACAGTCACGTCATTTCCCGTATAGTGGGAATCCCGAAGACCAGCATGTTTTTTATTTTGAGAATTGATCTTTGGTCTATCAATGGAACAGGACCGATACGTGCTTCACGATTCCACATTCAGCCAACGAGACCATTTCCCAGGGTGTAATAGCCACGTCCTACAAGAAAAAACGCAAATGAAACTGTTTTATAGCGTTTTGCCTTTAGTGAAAATAGGGGTTTGCGTTTACATACACCGCGAAATAATCAGCTTTGAGCCTGGCCATTTTCGAGAGTTTTAGGACCATAGGTGCCTAGGAAACCGAGATTAGAAGCCAGCGGACACCATCGATAGCTACAGATTCCAGCGGAACAGCACGATTTTTTTGTATGAAAAAAGAACACCATGATAATATAAGATGATGATAGAAGTCTATGAAGCCACACTAAAACTGGATATCAGACAGTTGTCTTTCAGGAAAACTTACTAAGAGGCGTATTGTTGTAAGATAACGCCAGACCCCACAAATCAGAAGCTAGCAGTAAGCATTAGACGAAAGATTAATTTGCAAATGGTGTCAACCATCCAATTTGCCCGACATCATTGTTTATTGGCTTGCACCTCTTAGGCGTTCGCTCCTTTATGCTACACATGCCGACTCGCCTGAGTTCGAAAGCAACTGCATATTCCAACTGTAGGTGGTATGCAGCGCAGCCAGTATTGCAGTCCAGCGGCTTCGAGACCAGGGGGAAATCCTCATTGAGGAGAGCGGGGCCATATAAAACAAAATTTCACGGCTCTATCTCATTTTGTTAAAGACAATTCCCGCGATCAAGTGTTACGGGTAGTTGGTGCTCAGTCATGAACCAGTGGCCCATAAGTAGCTCCTCAGTAGAAAAAGAAGCGAAAAAAACCTCGGGAACACCCTAAACACAGACCTCCCTCAGCAGTGGGGCGGCGTCTTGGACGAGTATGTCGGACGTGAAGGACGCTCTCCATAGCGATTG